GGTGATGCTTGCACCATCAAAACGCACAGAGGATATCAGAGGACAACCCAACCTCTTGGGTCTGGTGGATTCCACCAACAGGGAATGCTAGATATTGCTTAAGGATTGCACAAGAAAATCAGCAAACCATCAGGACCGAAGAAAGCTTGATGAATTACAGGGATTGCCTTGCAAACAGGCAACCAAGGAGAGCATGGTAAACATAGGTGACCGTTGTGGGTATCAAAAGGATGCCTACGGTGAATTTTACAGAAACCATGGGCCCCCTTGCACATTTTTTGGAATATTCTCCGTTTCCTTCCCCGTCCTCGATTGCCTCCACCTCCATCTCCGAGGAGTCTGCGAGTTTGGGAACCGGCCAAACCGCTATGCCAAGCCAACAGCCGCCTGGGGGCCTCAACAACCATGGCTGTGGCTCAAAACCCTGTACTGGTGAACGTCAAAATAGGTGGCACATGGGTGTTCCTCCGCCCCAGAATGGAGGCATAGGTTATGACCCATGGCCAAGTGGGATGCAGCTGGGAACGCTCGGGCCACCTGGGTCCCGTTGAAGTTCACATGGCCAGGGGCACGCTGCTGCAGTCTTACAATTTACCACTTCTTCCAGAGACATAAACACGCGATGTGCCTTGATTGAATGTTCGTATATACAACCGTATTACATGTGTGTACATAAATGTGTGTATGCATATGTGTTTGTATATGAATGCATGCAAAACATGGAATCCTACAATGACTCACAATGCCTGGAGAAAGAGCAAAACGGGGTTCCATGTGAAGATCCCCATATTCAGGACCTTCAAGCTGATACAAAGACACGTTCAGGTGCAGCTTCGGGTGCGGTCGAACGGCTTCGGCCTTGCGCGTTGAGTATTGATCAGGGCTCGTTTCTTCGAGTCTGTTCCTTTCGGGCCGAGAAGGGCTGCTTTCTTTGATCGGGTTTCGGATTGACTGAGGGCTGGCTTTGGGTTGATCGGCTAGGATTGGTCGTTGGACCCCGCTCTGGGGTTGGTATGCAGCAATTCACGTACCCTTCGCATGTGGCCACTGCACTGGCACTTGGTAAGCAGCAAAAGCCCGGTGAATTGCATACTTGCTTCGGTTGTTCCAACTTTATGCTGACCAAACACCCTTGTATCTGTGCTTTGTTTGGATCCGACTTGGACTTTGTTTGGATCCCGGGTTGGAATCAGAACGTGGGTAGATTCGAGTTTCGAGCTGTGGGCTTCGGAGGCCTTGCAACCGGTTTTTGTTCGGACCGACACTGGTTGGAATTACTTCGGCGCGGAACACACACACACATCAACAAAACCTTCCATGGTGTTAGATTGTATCACAAGGAGTGCCCGTTCTGAACCCCAACCCAACAGAGTCATAGACCTAAGATGAAACATGACTGAAATCTTGTCTGTGGTTGGCCGTAGCTTTGCGTTGTCGCACGCCCGGCCTACATAGACCACAGTGCAAACGCGGCCGTGCAAGCGGCGCCGGGGGTTCACCACGACCACCTGAGCCATGTCCGGCAAATCGGTGCCACGAAAGTGAGAAACATGTCAGATGCTGACTCATGGGCGAAGAGGTAGCGGGCCCCCAAAAGAAGGATTGAAGAGTCAGGACAGTTGGCCTTTGAAATACAGTCAACGGGGAAACCGAAACAAGCGCCGATTCTGCAAATCGGCGAGTGCCAGTTCCTTCAAAATCGACGCGCTAACAACCAAATCCATTTCAGCAGGCGTAGGGTTTGGGTTGAAAACCATGCAATGCTCAGGGCAAACCACAGGGCATGTAACCTCTGCTTCAGCGAATGGAGGACATTTCTTGATGGGTTTCCCAGGAAGAACCTGGTCGTTGTGTCGGGTGCAGCGGTACGTGCTAAATTTGTGTGGGGTGGGGGGGGGGGGGTGGGACCACGGTCCTCTTGATTCAACGGAAAACTGACCCCTTCCGTGGCTGTCATTTGTAACTTGGGCCCAAACGATAGGATTGGCACACCGCATGTTTCTGAGAACGCAGTGGCCTTCAGCCGGCTGCAGATCGTAATTCGACTTTGCCAGGTAATTACCACAAGCTCATGGGGAAAACGCGAGGCGGTATCCTATGCTGTGTCTGCTAGATTCATCCTGCCTCTGTGGGAAACCAACAAGGATGTGTATATATATATATAAAAATGTATTATAAACATAAATTATTTACATAGGATTGCAAGCTACAGCGCATGTGCGGGCACACCGCTGTGTATATTTCATAATATATATATATATATATTTATATATGTTTGTGTGGGCATACATGTAGTTGTTGCCTGACAGGTGCGTACAATGTAATTCATGACAGCGTAAGGAAAGGAACAGATACTGCGCTCCATGCAACACCAAGGAGATAGCTGAATTTTCATGACCTCCCAAACGAAGTGCAAAGTACCAAGAGGTCGCTCGCTGCGCGCCTCGTATTGGTTAAAGGTTGCACAACCTCCTGGACCTTCCATTGTTACATAAATTTGTGTCACGAAAGAAAAATGCTCGGGGCAACTATGTTTGCTCAATGATCCAAAAAGTGCTCGTTCCCAAAAACATCGCTCGTTTCATGAACACGGGTTTCTTGCAAAATACTAATTGTTACATATTTTGGATGTGCGCTCGTTTTGCGGGTATTTGCGCTCGTTTTGCGGGTATTTGCGCCCGTTTTGCGGGTATGTTTCCACATGTGTCCACATGACAGACTACATGAGAAAAGAGAATCCGCCGCAAGAGCCAAACATGCTCGAATCCAAATTTGTGCCCGTTCCCCAGAAAAACGCCCGACTAGCAAATTTCTGCTACGAAACACCCAAGGGGCACAAATTTATGTAACGAATGAAGGTCCAGGCTTCCACTTGTTCCCATCAACAAGGAGAAATCCAAGACCAGGTCCTCCAGTAGCGAGGTTGGAATAAGGGTAGCCTTTTTCAGTGGTCTGTTTTAGTAGGGGAACCCTCCCCAAAAAAGGGTAAAAGGGCACTACTGGGGGACCTTGAAAAGAACGCCCGAGCGGACGGCAAGAATGCGGCCAGCCGGAAATCGAGCCCGTGGCGAAGGCTAGGTCCCAGGCCAAGTCCCCTCTTCGCAGCTGCCCGTCGGCCAGCCGCCGCGCCTGGCGCGAGCTCCACACATGGGGAGGCCGACATGCCCATGCACGAGCGCCAGAGCAGCAGGAGACCATCCCCCCACTTTGAGGTTGGCTTCAGGTAACAGGAAGGAAAGGAAAACCGAAGTCACAAATCCCTTTCGGGTCTGCCCCTCCCTCTTCGAGCGCTTCGAGCCCGCCGTCCTGCGCCTGCAGCGCCCGCAGCTCCGCCGCGCTGGCGGCGCGCTCGGCGCACCACAGCTCCGCCAGCACCGGGCGGGACCGCCGGGCCGCGGAGGCCGGGGCGAAGTCCATCGAGCCCCGGGTTTCGGCGCGGGGTTTTGGTCCAGTTGGAAGCGCTTACCCGGAAATCATAGAAACCAGCAGGAAATTATACAGGAAACTCGCCAAATCTTCCCCAAAATCAGGGGTTTCCTGTAGAACGGTTTCTTAGAGGAAACTGGGTCCCGGGGTCAAACGGCTGTGGGTCAAACAAATGGTAACCCCGAAATGGAACCCTAGTAAGTGGAAACATGGACTCAAACCTGCAATCCCCTGGTGGTGTAATTTTGACCTATACCCAAATGACTTTGATTTATATAAAGATTTACCCGTTGGAAACCAAGCCAACAGTGAAGGAGTGAGCGGGTGTCGAGTAGAAAAGCTCAAAAGTTGATTTCGTGAAACCCAAAAGGAGCCAACATCTTGATGCATGCTTGGTTTTGAGGTTTGCCTTGTGGTTTACTTTGCTCTCTGCATGCTTGTTTGGTTTCATGTCTTCGGCAAACTCGGTTTCTTCGCTGCTCTGAATCTGTGCGAACCAATGCGTCGCTCTTTTGGGCAATCTGAGCCGGCCCAAGACTGTGCAAAGGACGATGTGTTCGCATTTGCTCATGCTGGCAGGCGGCTCATGATCAAAAACAAGACTAAGCGCGACTCTCAAAACTAGAGTGCCCCAAAAATGGTTGGCTTCCTTTGATTCAAATCTATCCAAAAGAGATGCCCACAGAAAAAGAACACACCAAAACAAAAACATGCTCACATTTGAGCTTTTCCCGAAAGCCGTTGCTTTTTTGGCTCTACCAAGACGGTCATGAATCTGAGTCGTAGAAACCTTTTGCAAATTGGTCAATGCTTTTGTTCTTTCATTTTTTATGCGCTGCTCGTGAGTATGTGTTTCCTGAAATTGGAAACAAGCCCAAATTGCCAGAGGTTAGCCTTTGCCGTTCAAGCAAACCCAAAAAGAGACAACCAAAACAGGGTTCCCCCTATTCCCTTTTAGACATTGCCATATTGCCCCAAAAGGTGTTCTTGAAATCCACCCTGAGATGAACTTCTTGGAGCTTGAACTGATGCATCTGAAAACACAGACGGGTTCACTCCATCAGCGTCCGAAAATTGGCCAAGAGAAAAACCAATCAGAGCCAAGAGAAAAACCAACAGGGCCCCTGGATTTCCCCTTCAAAAGTTGCAATCTACTGGTGGTTTCAGTGATTGAAACCGCCCCTTTGGGAGGTTCCAAACTGGGAAATGGAGGACACCCTGACCAATTCTTGCATAATCTCCTGGTTGGTCGCCATTGCTGTTGGAGGGGCTCCTCAAAGCCCTCTAATGGATTGGGGAGTGGCGTTCAAAAAGCAGGATACACCAGCCCTGGACGAAATGACTTTTCTCCCCTGATGGCGTGGAACAATTTGGGTCGTCACTGCTGTTGCAGAAGTTTGGGGTTGTGGCCCCAGCGTTCTCCCCAAACAAACTGTAGCTACCAACCATAGTGTCAGTTACCCACATTTCTTTCTGTGCCCAATTGATGAGTTAAACCAGTGCGGCAACAATTAAACCGCACCCAATGCCCCCAAAACCCAGCGATCTGTCCCTACGCATTCCACCCAAGGCTCTGTGAGAAGTTCACCTCCTCATAGGGGTAGACCACATCTTTCAGTGGCAGCTCCTGGCGATTCGCTCGTGCGAAACTTTCGACCATCTTGATGGTGAAAGAGTTGGTCTACACTTCCAAGCCGGGTGCCAGTTTTGCGGGGAAAAAAGGACCCAGATCCGGTCGGAAAAAAACGATAAACATGTTGGGAAAACGCCCCGAAGCTGTTAGAATTCTACATCCATTATATCAGTAATATCGCTCTTCAACATCTTTCTGGGGGTGATATTATCCGTAGCATGTAACAAACTGCCCCGCCCCCCCCCCCCCCGCCATAGTATAGAATCCCTCTTCAAGCGCTCTTACCTTCTGGAGGAAAAAAGAAGAAGGGTCGCACGGTGAACTGCGCGGAGAAATGATCAGCTGCCCCTACCAACCTCCGAGCTTGGAGCAACCCGAGGGAGGGGCTACTCCAAGAGCGCCGCTGCCCAGCGAGTGGGGCCTCCTAACTGAACCCGAAGCCGGCAGATCAAGAAAACGTGTGCTTCAGAAAACTGGACTTGGGAAAGCATTAGGTACATATAGGTACCTAGCAGCCCCTGACGTATCACTTTGGTGGGGAAGGCTCCGGCTAAATGATCGGCAAGTAAGCGCGCCGCAAACCGTGACAAACATACAAGGGGGTTCCCTTTCTCTGTGCTTGTTCATACAAATGATTGACTCAACGAGAACCCTAGACCATGAGAAGTTACAGCAACCAGTGCAATGCTTCTTTGAGTTGTACCTCCCCACGTTCTTGCAATGGATCCTTAGGTGATGAAACTGGCACAAGCCAGGAAGCTTTGTTTCTGCCAGGGAACGACATGGTTGAAACCAAAGTTACCACCGCCACGAGTAGTCAACGCTTTGTTGGGGGAGAAAGAGTAGCGGACCACTCAATGTCCACGAAAAACCAGGTAAGATCACCGGCCGCGCCGCGAGCAAGGCATTCCACCAGCTGTTCATACATTGACACACATACTTGCTGGCTCTCAGTAGGGAATGAGGAAGCGACACCCCTGTGGACCACCTGTGTGGTTTCCCTTCAGGGGATCATTGAAAGCATTCCTTGTTTTTTGATTTGCTGCTGAGAACCAGCAAGCGTGCAGACAAACAAGCACATACACACACACACACACACACACACACACACACACACACACACACACACACACACACACACACACACACACACACACGCCGCGCGCGCGCGCGCGCGCGCGCACCCCTCGTCTGACGCGTCCTGCAAATCCCCGTCTGAGAAAGCACGGCCTTGATAGTCCAGCCTTGGCAAAAAACAGCCTGACGAAACCCCAGCGGCGGCCCATGCAACACAAGCCCACCAATCAGACCGGAAAGAAGACATCTCCTGGTAATTAACTCACGTGCCAGTGGGTCAAACCCGCACCCCTGGTGAACATCAACATATGTGGCAAATGGATGCTCATCCACCCCAAAATGAAGCTATAGGTTGTGCATGGTTGTGCCGCATGGCCACGTTTGGATTGTAAGGATGAGTGGTCAAGTTCAACAGACAGGAAACCAAATGTTATGAGCATCCCCTTTCAGGAACCAACCATGCGGGAAAACAACTCGTGTAAAAGAAGAACAAAAAAACAAAAATAACAACAATAACTAGAACAACACATAGAAAGCAAACAATACCAAGAAGACGTAAACAGGTGAAACAAGAACAAAACAAGAACAAGAACAAGAACAAGAACAAACAAACAAACAAAACAAAACAAAACAAAACAAACAAACAAACAAACAAACAAACAAACAAACAATAAAACAATCAATCAATCAATCAATCAATCAATCAATCAATCAATCAATCAATCAATCAATCAATCAATCAATCAATCAATCAATCAATCAATCAATCAATCAATCAAATCAATCCAATCAATCAATCAATCAATCAAACAAACAAACAAACAAACAAGTAATAGCAGCAGCAGCAGCAACAACAACAACAACAACAACCAACAACCAACAACCAACAACAAACAACAGCAACCAACGACCAACGACCAACAACCACCAACCAACAAACAATCAAACAAGCAAGCAAACAAGCAACCAGGTAACCAAGCAACCAGCCAAGAAACCAAGCAACCAAGCGATCAAGCAACCACGCAAGCAAGCAAGCAAGGGAGCAAGCACGCAAGCAAGCAGGCAAGCAGGCAAGCAGGCAAGCAGGCAAGCAGGCAAGCAGGCAAGCACGCAAGCACGCAAGCAGGCAAGCAGGCAAGCAAGCAAGCAGGCAAGCAGGCAAGCAGGCAAGCAACCAGCAACATTCATGACAATTCCAGGAACAAAAACAATGATGGGACAGTTGAAATGCTAGTTGGGAACTGCAGGAACAAATAGTTTGGGGGCGGCACTTCTTGTCTTTCGTCATGGCCTGCGCGGTATGCCGCTGGCCACATGCAGCGCAAGAATTGTCATGAATCATCGAGGGTACCTTCAATCGCAGCGGTGCCAAAGTGGTGCTCAATTGACATTGGCCCAAAAAGCGATGCTTGAAACTCTACGCACATGGAAACATCAAGGACCCAAACAAATCCTGTTCTTGTGTGTGACATTGCACTTCACTCGACACCATGAGCTGAGCTGAACCAAGGAGCACCACAGCGCTCATTCGAAGGATACGGTCACTTAAAACTGACGTCGCCATAAAACGAAAATGCATGACACAAGCCACATAACATCATATATATATATGCAACATATTTCGCTGCTGTCTCCAGCTGACATTGATCTCTGGGCTTGCAAGCCTGCTTCTAGTCAGCTATTCATTTGAAGCTCGCCCACCTGAAGTCCACAGAACTTGCATGGAGCCTTTGATGCAGGAAGAATCCATCAATTTACAAGTAGCACCAGGCTCGCAACAGATGCAGCTCGTGACCATGCATGTTGTCATGCCCTCGTTCGCCCTGGCTGTCACTCTGTGACTTGGCGATTCCTTCCGACGGCGTCCTTCTATAGGCTGCTTATGTCAAACTCCCCACACTTCCAACTCCCCTCTTGCTGAGTGGTTGGAAATCAGGGAAACAAATGTGGGGAGTTGGGAGTGGAGATTGGGGTCCAGTGTCCTTAGAAACCACCCACAGGGTCTGCTTGCCTTTTTTATGGACCATGTTTACTGGATTTTGAGGACGTGCTATTTTCAACCGAATGGGGAACCAGAAGCACGTTTCCAACGACAAGCATTTTGAGTCTATCGAAGCTGGCTTCCGGGTCTGCCGAGGGCGGTTTGATTTGGCAGGCACACCCGAGTTGTCCGACGCAAACTGAAGGCAACCCCCTCCGCAACTAATGGCACTTCAAAAAGCGCTCCCTTCGCCAATACTCGCCTCGGGCCCCCAGGGCCACGAAGCGGTGAGACCCCTTCGGCACCTCTTCGGGATACTACACACTTCAAGGCAAACCAAAACACAGTATATATTTCAGAGCCAGCCAAAAGCGAACTGGCCGAGGCGGGCAACGCGAAGCCTTTACAATGGGAAAAAACATGCTCAGGTGCCAAGACGAGAAGAACAAATCTAGGCCTCTCAGCCCAGTTTCTCCTCTCTCCCCATCCCCTTAGCCTCAGTGCCATGCGATCGCGTTCCTTTGGCTCTTAGGTTGCTTCCACTTGCCTTTTGCAGGTTCTGTTCTACCAAAAAGGTAACGATGGCTGAAACATCGTTTTTCTCTGAGATTTGGATGCGAACCATTCAGAACATGGACAATCTGGATGGCCCAGCTTTCTGCCCGAAATCCGATCGTTTCATGGGCAAAGGGAGGGATCTATTTGTCGCGAACAAACTGATCCAGGAGGCTTCAGCCACTGCTCCGATTTTTTGGTTAGGTGGGCACAGGCATTTTATAGACGCAAACAATTGGCAACAATCTGTTGGCTGGCCCCTAGGAGGTTTGCCACTGGCCTACTTCACATTTCGTTCCTCGCAAATTTCGCATCATGCAACCCGATCCGCCGATCCACCTACCGCCCCCTAGAGCAGCGAAGGCGAAGCGCGCGCTTGCGGTAAGATCAGCACAAAAAGCCGTTGGTTTCTGCCCTGACCTGCTGACCAATCTCCCTAATACTGAGCGGTAGATGTGGTAGTGTCAGGGTCTGGGGTTCCAGACATTTGTGTACCTTTTGGCCCAAATGTTGCAAGCCAGGCAACCATCCATGGTCAACAAGGAAACCATTGCAGCCGGATGCTCAAACTACCAGCGATTTGGAGGGAGAGATTTGGGGCCCCTGTCGATTTCGAAGCCGGAAGCTGTGGCTTCCCTTGATACCCTACAAAACAACTGCGTGTTTGGGCTCCCGTGGTATATAAACGTATTTGTATATTGTAAATGATCTTGTGGGACACTCTGCCTACACGCCGGACAAACACAGAGTCCTGAATGCATGAGCCCAAAAAGACCACAAGATCGGTACTTATCACAAAAACAAAAAAGACACCTCCTGAATGGGTGGGCTCATGTGGGCCCCGTATGTGCCATTTTCGAGCCATCTGCACAACCTACTGGACCAACCCAGTTGTAAGTGCAGCACAAGCCCACCGCGGGGACCTACTCCAACAAAGGTGGGCGCTTGCTCATGCAGATGCAGCGTAACTTCGCGTGGGCCGAAGTCCTGCACCAGTTGGGATAGATGAAACCCTCTGAAAACTGGGATGAGTCCTTTGGCCCCTGCCAACTGGTGCAGGATCTTGTCCATCCGCAGAAAAATTGCGGACGCTTTTTGCCGCCAGCCACTCACGTGACGCAGCAGCCGGCAGAGCACGTTCTGGCAAAACTAGCACACCCCGGGAAATCCATGTCCGGTGGGCACCAGAAATGAGACACCAGGACAAAGGTTCTGCCTTCTTGGAGATTATTTGGAGCCTGGTCGGGCAGGTCCAGAAGAGAATCCAAGCGGCAAACACCCTTTGTGGAGGGCAGGGCCCTCCCCCATTGGGAGATGAACCCAAGTGTCGAACTGACCGCCGTTTGCTGGAATGAAAGATCTCCCTCTTTTTTCGTTGGTGCCCACTTGCCTCAGCTCAAAAAAATGCAAAAGACCTTCGGACCAATGTCAGACGCCCGGATGGCTTGGGATGGCTGGCCGGTCACCAGTGTCCTTCCCAAGCCTTGGGAAGCTGTTTTTTGCCCGGTACTCCTTGGGGACGCGTCTTACATGGGTCCGAGGCATCACAAAACCGTAATGTTGGCACGAAAGGCGAGCAAACAAAAAAACATGTATCCAACAAGGTGATCTTAAAAAAGGAAGAACTTGATGTATCCAAACATGGATTGGGAAAACAATCAAGCAGGAAGCGAGTAAGCGCAGTTTGATGAGAAAAATCCCTCGTTGGCGCTGGAGGGTGCGGGGGAAGAAAAAAAACAACGAAACCAACAGGAACACGACATTCAGGACCCTCATACACAACATTCAGAACCCTCATATTATTGGACACACTCCCAATGATTCCACAAACTTCAAAAGACATACATACACTAACGACCTTCTCATGATGAAACATGATTCCATCCCTGGTGAATCAACTAGGCAGCCCATGTGACTTCCACCAAAAGCATGGGATTGCCCGTTTTCGCTTTTCAAAACTTGAGGTGTCCCCAAATGTATAATCGCTCCCCTTGTCCAAAGGCTCCAGGAGAAAACCAAAGCAAAGGCCTTGGTTGATAGGTGCTAGAAAGCCGGCGGCACGCCTTTCTTGAAACATGCTGCTCGCAACAACAACCCAATGCAAGCCAGGGCAAATTACACGACTTCCAATTTCGGGGCAGCCCTCATGCTCTGAAGTGGCTGTGGGTCAAAAATGGCACCCAAAATGGAACCCTGGTAGATGGACACATGGACTAACCGCTGCGGTCCTTGGTGGCTTAATTTTGACCCATACCCAAGTGCCCTTTAACATCAAGCCCCACACTGTCGCGACACCACAAATTGCCGGGCCGACGGCGCCGGCGCCATTGCCGCCAACAGCGCCTGCCGAACACAACCCATGGACCCTCTCCCCAAACGGCAAGCTTCTCTCCGGCAACAAATGCTCCTTTGCGAAGCAGCAGGCCTTTCTGCGAGGAATCAAAACGAGACTGCACTTGGCGAAGAAGGTTGCGCGGCTCCAAAAAAAAGCGATGCCTTTCGCCTTTCGCACAAATTGAGCTCGTAATTGCAAAGCGTTGCCTTGGCCCAGTTTAATGAGCTGCTTGGCCAGCGGAACTCGAAATCAACGCTAACCAGTGATACGAAGTGCATGGGAAAAACAAGTTTGCGGGTCGTGCATTCTACGCAGTTGAGCAGTGCTCACAGCATGGAACCAACTCGTGTTGTCCCAGGTCTAAGCCTGGAATTTGCTTACTTAATCATTGCAATGGGTGTTTCAGAAAACATGGAGACTTCTTGAGGCAAAGGAACATTGAACATTGAACATTGAACATTGAGGCAAAGGACGCACGTGTTTATGGGCCCTCGGAGAGACCCAAAGTCTATGGACCCAACCCACACAAAGGATTGCACAAAAGGTACCCACGGAGACGACCCTCTCGCCTCTTGGACCTCCTCTGCGCGCACCCGAGCCGCCACATCCAACGGCAGCATCCTCGGCACCCAAAGGGGCCGAAGGCCAGGCAAGCGCGGCATTTTTAAGGCGAGTCCCCACGTGCTTTACACGGCCCCGAAAGGCGTTCACTTGAATCATTGAAATTGGCCCCAAAAATAACGTTAAGCACCGGCACCGAACCTAGGGATCCCGAAAGGTCTGGTAAATGCCTTGCTACTCACCTTTCGTCAAGAGGGGGGACGCCCTTGAAACTCATTTTTTCAGTGAACCCATCTGACAGCTGTTAGTCGGGTTCAAACCAACACCTATGTGCGGTTTGAGCCTGCCTTCTTTTTTGCCCAGATTGAGTCCGTGTTCAGGTCTCCCATGATTAGAGTAAGTTGCAAGCTGAGATTCAGTCATGTCCTCTTGTCACATTTGTTCTATGACCTTGAAGCACCAACACCCCCATTGTTGGTAGCTTCCACGGCTGGCGCCGCGCAAACTGCTGTGCAAAAGGAATCAAGTTGGCACCTACCCTCTTTCCGATGGAGGCAGACGGACGTCTTCAAAAAGCTAAGCAAAGCAATCGTCGCACAACTCCATCAGCTTCCAAGCTGAGCCTCTCTTGGTGTCCCAAGCCAATGCTACCGGTAGCTGCCAAAGAGATATGCATACATCACAATATTACCACCACGAACCAATAGGACATGCACTACCCAAACGAGAATTCTGCAAGATCCGTTGCTCATAGGTTTCATTTGAATGGCCCTAAAACGGGACCCGGAGCGCCTTTGCCGCAAAAAACAAAAGCCGCAAATACCGCAAACAACTTCCCAAACAGCGGCAAACACCGTGCCTCGCCTCAGATCGTCCCTGCGCTGGGGGTCAGCACGCGCAGCCAGCAGCCAGCGCACGGACCTGTCTGAAATGGGCATTTCAATCCAACCTGAAAACGAGTACCCTCAAAAACAACACCATCACAGATCCATAATGGTCAAAGGGTTTGGCCTTTTGACCTGGCCTTTTGACCAGTTGAAGGAAATGAAGGACCCCCAAAAAGTGCGCAGGTCAAAAGACAAACCGTTGATGGTCGACCTGACCATCAAATTCCGAGCATGGTCTTTCAGCCAAGAACAAACAGGGTATTGGCGTTTGCTGCATTTTTGGGGTTTGTTGCTGCCAGCCCTAGATGTCTCCACGGGAATTTCAACGACGCAATTGGCCCAAGTTAAGTCTGGGACAAGAGTCTTCTGGATGTGTTCGTGTTGGTTCTTGGGTGTCGGTGCCGCAAAATCGCCAAGGGGCCCTGGAGGAGGGCGGGGGCCTTCAGAGATCCCAGCAGCTCTCTTGTATCCCTCAGATCTCATTGACTCGGCATCCCCACTGTGCATCCCCCGCTTGCGCCGCATGATGGAGGGCGCAGCGCCCGTCCAGGCGCCTCAGTTCGGATCGATGCCCCCTGATATGTTTTCTAGGTCCTCCAGTAGAGAGTTTAGAATTGGTTTATTTTAGTAAGGGAACCCTCCCCCAAAAAATGGGAGAGAAGAGCACTAATTACTGGGGGACCTAGGCTTGGCATGAAAACCCGTGCGGCGATCTGCCATGTCCATTCAAGGAAGGGCGTCTGCATTGACGCAGCACATAGCACGGAGTGAAGGAGTAAGAGAGGCGCTGAAATCCGCATGCCCAAACCTCCTGCAGTTGTTCCTTCAGGGCCTTCGATTGTTTTTACCTGTTCCAAGGGCCTTTCTGTGGTCTGGTTTTTGACTGGCTTGGTCCAAGATTCCTCTTCCAAGAGATGAACATGATGAACGTGCTTCTTTGATCCAATCAAAGTGCAAACTGGATAGAACCGCAAAACAGGTGTCAAAAGGAGAGCCCTCAATATCCCACTTCTTAGCTTCTCAGGGGAGTCACTAAAGGTGTTAGGTGTCTCTGCTGACATGTCAGCAGATGGATGGTGGTTCCAGCCATCTCAGGAGATCATCGGTTCTTCAACCAGGAAGAGCAAAGGAGGAAGACTGCCCCAAGGACCAAAACATAGTCCACCCACAATCTCCCCTAGTCATAGCAAACTCCACCGAAGAAGGGGACCCAGAAGAACCTTCATGGGTCAAATCGGTCACAAATCAAACCCTCAGGTCGACCCCGAATGCGTTGAGCTGGGCGTCTTGTTGAGAATACCGTCTTTCGGGCTGTTCCAAGGAAAACCAAGGATAGACACGTCCCACTTGGTGAACCTCCCCCATTGTATCAACCATCTTAGGGCTGGACCAACAAGGTCCTCCAGTAGAGAGGTTTTCCAAAAAGGGTACTCACTGTTTTTTCTTCTTGTTTTTTTTCCGGTAGTCTATTTCAGTAGGGTTCCCCTCCCCCTAAAAAAGAAACGGTGAGAAAGGGCATCTAGCTGGGGGACCTCGCCGATTACCTCTCCGAATTCAAATCTGGGGCCCTGCGCCCTGCGGCATTGACCTCGGCTCGAAAGTCCTGGCCCATCGGAAAGAGACAAGCGACGGGGGGGGGGGGGCTCCAAAAAAGGAGTCTGAGTCCCACTAAACCCAGGGCCACCCCCTACAAATACACTGAGGTTGATTGATATTCCCCCAAAAAGACACCCTGACTAGTCATGAACCGGGGTTGATTCATATGGGGATCCTTTTGCCGATTCTTGTTGCAGCTGGAGAGAGAAGCCTGCCTCAAGTGGATCAGGTTTCCTTATATGGCGTGAACAGCACCTCACCAGGGCAGGTTCACTCAACATTGCCAACCACAAGATGGTGCTTGAACCTGCCAATAAGGGAAATAGAAGAACCTCCACGTACCCGGACTGTTTGTTTTCACCACGCCCCTTCGGATGGCAACGCTCACCCACTGGTACTGCTGAGGAGGGCATTTGCGTGCGACCTACTTTGAATACTCAAACCAGTTGACTTCCATTGGACTGGTTCTTTTTTTCAAGGCCCCGGCAGAAACCCGGGCAGCTCTAAGGCTGCATAGGAAGCCCTATAGGTTAATAGTTAAAGAAGGTCAAACTTGCTGGAAGGCAATGGACGTATCAGGTCCAGCGTGACCTGGACGAAAACACACAAATCACACGTGAGAAATATAAGCTCAAAAGGTCAGCTTTGGACAGGCGTGGATAAGCCAAAACAACCCCCCGACCCGGGACTTGTTGTTCCCAGTTCCCCGTCTGAAAATGCATCAAGCGAAAAGTGCCTCTGGGTGGAATCCGGCTGTCGATTCACGTTTCCAGCAAAAAAAGTGGCATCGGCCAAGGTCAATCCACACGCCGGCTCCCAAAGCACCGAAAGCCCCCTCCAGAAGCAGTCGCAGCAGCGCAGGGCACTTACGCCGCGCCAACACCTCGCGAGAAGACTCGTGGGGCTGGCTCCAAGAGCCCCATCAAAAAAAAAACGTGTCCCCAAGGAACCCTCAGGAAACTTTGATGGTAAGAGGGACGACATTGAGCACCTGCAACTCTGGAAAACATCTCCGAAAGAGGGCCCACTGGATGAGCGCTCGATAACCAACAGACTCTGCGGACCAGCGCTGGCTGCCATGTGCGCTCGCTCAAACTCCCACCGACCCAAAATGTGTGTGTGGCTTTGGTTGATCTTCCGCTTGTGTTGGTTTGAAAGGATACGAACAGGAAACCGCCCATGTTGGGGGTGCTTCGTGTAGAAGCGAACCCAAATAGCTGCGGTGATAACCCAAGCGAGGAACCAATGCATTCTAAGTGCAAAAACGTCTTGCTACGGGTGGCGGAATGTTGATGGGCTTCGGTCACAACCGAAATCGGTGAGGTCGCTGCAGATTGCAATAATGAGCTTGAAATAAGAAGCAAGTGAGCTAAATAATGTGTAAATCTGGCCTGTCTATGCGTTAAAGCATCCACAAAGCACAGTACCCTCCAGAAACTCTGTTGTGGTGGTTGGCTTCCTTTTGGTTTCCCTTCAAATACCGACTAAAGGGACCTACCATTTAAAGAAACACACATAATATGCATGCTGGCAAAGGGTTGTCACCTTTTGCCCTCTGCTTCCACTTTTTAGGGAACGCCCAAACCCCTCTAGCCAAAAGCAAGACAAAAACGGCAGCATTGCTTAACCGGTAGGATTGAGGACAATACTCCAGTGATTCCTTGAGCTTTAGATTCCTCACCCTCCGAAAGACACACACACACCTGCATCTGCGGATGTTGTCATTTGGGACATATGGTTGGTGGAACTACCAATGCCCCCAATTAAACATCTTAAATTGCTTTCGCAGAACCCCAAAAACCCTCTTCTAGCGAACTCCGTAGGGACCCATGTTTTGAGCTCCTTACTTTGTGGAGTCTGTGTCATCAATTAAAATTACTACCCATATAAAACTCCTTTTCCAGCGTTTCGTCCCTTTTAACAAACAGACCCATCTTGATCTCACTTCCTTGGCCAAATCAAGCGAACAGGAGACCTTAAACCCTTTTTCCGGAAGTGAGTTCAAGAACCACCTCAGGAAGGATCCTAAACCAAAATCCCAGGACGTCGGGATGTGAGTTCTGAACGCCTCACGTCCGTCACCCCGTCACCCCGCCCCGTCACCCGCCCGGTCGGCCTGCAGCGGCCGCTGGCCCCGCACGTCCGGCTCCTCCAGCGCGGTGATCGGCTGCCGGGCGAAGAAGGCAAAGGCCTGTGCCCCGATCTTTTTTGTGGCCAGGGGGGGGGGGTGGAATCCCTTCCTTGCTCCTCCAGAGAGCTTAGAAGGGTACCAACTTTTTCAGTCGATTTTGGTAAAGGAAACCTACCCCGCAGAAAAAGGTAAAAGGGCACTACTGGGGCAACCTAGCCTTGCCTAGCCTAAAAACGGTGCTATCTCCTTTGGCTTCCCAAGAGCTTGCCCCGACTTGGAAATGAAAGGTGATCACCTTTTTGGGGCCACTCAAAATAGACCATAAAAACGGAAAACCAAAAGGTCATGTCAGGTTGATTCGCTTTGGACAAGTGAGATCCCAAACAAGCTGATTGGGCATCAACAACTGGGCAAGATGGTGTTGCGGAGAACACATGTTCGAAATTGCAGACCCAAAAGACCACAGGCTCTGGTCATGTTTGGGGCCCGGTTCCTTTTCTTCGACCCCAGCCTCTGCTTGGGCCCGCAAAGCAAAAGTAAATTGGGGCTTGGGGTTGGGCGCATGTGTTAAACCCTTCAGCATGGGCAAACCCTTGAAGTTTGTGGGGTGAAGATAGAGTTAGATCCTTTCAGAGAGCATGAACCACGGGTATGGCTACGTGCAAGCTGCTTTCAATCAAGCCAATTGTTGTGTACTTCTGAAATTGTAGAAGCAGTCCGACTTCGTTGTCCACTGACAAGGCGGTGTCAAGTAAAACCTGGCCACCCCAAACTAGAGGCGCCCAACAAATACGAGGCACCTCCAAGCAACCAAACAACGTGTATTGAGCTAGTTTTGAGACGGTGATGTTGGTGTTGAGCTGTACAACTCAAAAACTCAAAAACTCAAAACGTAGAAAATGCAAAAAAACATGTGAATGAAGTGTAAATGACAAACGGAATCAAGTGTTCATTGAACTGCGTCAAAAGGAGGCTCTTGGCATTTGACGAACCACATATACATATATATATATATATACGACTCTTCAAAGCACCACATTGGTGCTACTGAAACCTTATTCGCAAAACGGTGCATCCTTTATGCCGCATAAGGGTTAGTGCCAAAATGGGAGGATTGCCCAGCTCCACTGGGCAGCTCCCCTCAGCAGCTGATGGGAGTAGAATTGATGCCACTCCCACAGCGAGGGAGGAATCCTCCCACCTCACCGGATGCCCTCCCGGCATCATGGGTGAGGAAGGAAAGTAGCGAAGATCAGCTTGATCAATTCGCTTTCGACTGAGGGGAAGACCCGGTTCTCAGTCGGAAATTGCGGGTCCGGATGAGTAAGTTCATCCGCCCATGTGTTAAAGTCGCGCTTCACATGCGACGGTCCTAACATGACCTGGTGGTCATGCAGTGTTAACACAATTTCCATGAGGATGGCCGCATTGGGCATCCTGCGAGTGGAATCGTTAAGCAGGGAGAAAACATTTCCCTGGTTATCACTAGCAACCAGGATCCTAGTGTGAGAAGCCGAGCCGGCTGCACAAAGCAGAACAGCCCTCACCAAAAGGAGGAGGCCGAAGAGCTCCAAGGCCGCTATCGCCCGCTGCGGGTCCCCAGTAGTGAAGGCCCACGGCTCGCCCTCCGGTGTGATTCTGTGCTGGAACCACTTCACACGGGACTTGTCGGGGTTGGACACGTCCGAGCACCAACCACCAACCCATGCATGGTCCGCCTGTTTGCCAGCTCCCGCATCAGATGCCCCCATCCATGGAAGTGTGGGAGCAAATGGAGATGCCAGTGGGAACCTCTGGTTGAAGAGTTTCCCCAAAAGGATGGCCAGAGCACGAACCAGCTTCGGTGGCCTGCCCGAAGTGGTGCAGGCCTTCTTCCAGCTCCAAAAAGGCTGGAGGAAAGGTTTCGTCAATGGGCACGCCGAAGTAGCCCATTGAATCCGGCCCAGGGCTTGTTCCACCTCCTTGCTGGTGAAGATGTCCCCCTGGGCCAGCCGTTTAAGAGTGGCCAGGATTATGACGTGCTTGACTGGAGCCAGCAGTACACAGGGCGTGATTGGGTCCACCACAAATCCCAACCAGATATTGATCGGGGAGAGCGCCGTCTTCTTCCAAGAAAGCGGGACTCCCAGCGCCAGCAGAGTAGCCAGGATGACTGTGGCGTCCCAGTCCGCCCGGCTGCATCACCTGAGGGAAGATGTAGTACAAGAGTCTGAGCACCAAGGATGCCTTTCTTCCCCAGTACAGTTGTGCCGAGGCCATGCCGTACGTGCCCACTCTGTTGACCCACCACCGGTTCTGGATGCAGGCCACCTGGTATTTCCAGTCTTTCGGGAGCACTTTTATACGCCTGTGGGCCTTGGTGACATCCGCCTTGAGGATGATGAAGGTTTCCCCATGTGTCGGCGGCTGCCACATCAGGGGTTCCCCCCTGCTCCCTTCAGGGCGTTCCGTGCCAGGGGGGGTTGGGGGGAATGGGGCCCTCCTATCAGGGCCCTCGGCACCTGGGAGTGGCCCCTTCCCGTCTTGGCCCTGGGGGCGGCACCTGGGGACTGCCCCTGCACCGGCTGGTGACCGCCGCTGTCCTGAGCCAGTGGATGGCATGGAGGCAGTCTCCAACCATCGGTGCAGTGGTCTTCTCCCCCGTATGAGCCTGGATGTGTGCGTTTGCTCCCCCTTTTGAGCCATCGTAGATCGTCCTGATCTTGTCTGACTCATCAATCCCCGCAAGGGGGCCCGGGCAAAGTTCCTCCGGTTTGCAGCGGCACCTCTCTGCCGCCTCGGACCGAGTGAAGGGCCCGTCCACCATGTCCAAGGCTCGTTCTTCGTAAAAGGTTGCCTCGATTTCACTGGCAAAGAGTTCAGCCGTTGGGTAGTTATCATGAGCCACCGGCGGGGGGGGGTCTTCCGCCAGCCCTTAAGCTCCTCCTTAGTCGGCCAAACTCCCGGGGAGGTCAAGGTAGGGTCCGAGACTCCCAAGGGGACCCCCTCTTTCAGTGTCAGGGGGAACTCCCAATCAGGGTTACCTGAAAGGGATGCCAAGTGCGAAACTAGGTCCAGGAGGAAGGGTTGACCTGGGCATCGTTCATGGAGGTGCCTAGGTCCCAGGATAGCCCGCAGCTCCTCGAGGTCGGCTTCCTGGAAGGGGTGTGTGGTGGCACCTGATGCCAGGGACATTCGGACCTTGTCAATCCAGGGCCGGGTAAGGGTCATGCTCAGGGCGCCCAAAGTAGCCAAAGGGGAAATTCTCCGAAAGGGGGGGTTGAGCCTCCCCGGTGAAGGTTTCCCCCCCCCATCCCTCAGGGGGCGTGAGCGGAAACCCAATTGGACAATCGCCACTCGGTCAGTGAGGCGTGGGACCCTGAAAGCGGGCAGGCATTCGGGGCGGTCCAGGACCTGGTCCCCATGTTCCTCCTTCTCCAGTTGTTCCGCATCTCCGGCCATCGGGGGCATGGGAGATGGGAAGTCTGGGTTCATTGTTCCACGAGGGCTTACGGTGCCTGCCTCAAGGTGGATTTGCCCGTGCAGGCGGGGCTTCGGGGCATTCTTGCCTCCGGGCTTTGAGCCCTGGTGTGATGAGGAGGGACCGCCTCCCTGATTGGGTCCCTGTTTTCCCCGCAGGGAAGGGATTTCCGGGGGGTCCGACCCCCGCCCCTTAGGTGGTTCCTTAGGGTTTCCCGGGAATTGTGAGGGGATCCGGATGTGCCCCGGCGCTGCGAGTGACACAGCGATGGCTTTGGCCAGGCCGTGCCCACATGTGACTGATGCGTGCACCGCATTTGATCCCAATCCTGAATTGGGAGATCCGTGGCTAGCGTAGTGGCCTTCTTGACCAGCTGGCCCAGGCGGCACTGGTCGAAGGAGATTGCTGTCAAGGAGTTTTCCTCCATCCAAAGCTGCCCCTCCTCTGTGATCCAGAAGGATGAGCATTCCTTGGCTTTGGGCAGCGAGCTGCTCACCACTGGGTCCTCCGGGTGCTCCAAGAAGGACCTTGGCCCTGGCAGAGAAACCGCCGCTCTTGCAGGCTGGTGATGTACATCTGCCTCAGAATGAGGATACTGTCATCATCAAGCTGAGTCTGGGCGGCCTGGTCCAGGTGTGGAAGGCCCCAAAGTGTCTCTGGAGTGCGCCCTCGCACGGGGCCCGGTTTTGGTATGTGGCGCAGGATGGACCATGTCCTGCAGTTGGGTCCTCCTCCAATGAAGACCACTCGGCCCTGCTTTGCTGCCGTGCAGAGAGCTCCATACAGCTCGGGTTGGAGCATATCGTGGTTCCCTTTTGGTCCCGACCGTAGGATGTCTACCGCCACCACCATGCTGGAAAGGTGTGGGTAGTTGGCATGAAGGCAGCTGTCCAGGGAAGTTGGGTCTTCCTTGCCTGCATAGAGCAGGACAATGATGGGCCCACTGGATGGGACTTTGGGCGATGTGCCCTGTGTCCATCTCAGCCGCTGTACCAAACGCTCCGGGGTGTTCTCCATCCACGGGAAGATGTCCAATCCCGGTGACGGCTCCGTGGGACTTGTCAGGGGGGTAGCTGAAAGGCGCTGGCCCCCTTCATTCAGCCCAACCGAGCTCTTGTGGAAAACCACCGGGTCCTGCTTGATGATGTTGGGCGCAGGAAGTGGGATCGGCTGCCTCCTGGGCGTGTTCCTTGGCGTTGCGGTGCGCTGCCAGTTATCCGGCACTCGGGCCTGCTGGGCGCGGCCCCCCGTGTCAGGGCCCTTGGCACCTGCGGGGAACCGTCCCGTCCCCGCCATTTCAGGGCCCTCGGCACCTGTGGCTCGGGACTGAGGCGCCGCCGTTGTGCCAGCTGCGTGGCTGTTCTGATCCCAGCGAGGGCGTTGTGCACGCTGGTTCTGCCGTCCCCATCCTTGTTCCGCCGAGGATGGCCGCCACCTGGCCTGTCCCCCCCCTGTGTCAGGGCCCTCGGCACCTGCAGGAAAGGGCTCATGTGCCTGCTTGGGGCGTTTGCGCCCCCTCTCGCCCCCCCGGGCCTTATCAGGGCCCTCGGCACCTGAGGCCTCCCGGGGGGTAGGGGTCAGCGCCCCTAGTCAACCCGGG